TGAGCGAAGCGATGGCTGGTTCATGCGTCATGCTCGTGAACGGGTGCTGCCAGCGGAGATGAGTCTGCTCTTAATTCACTGGGTACCATAGTACGATTAATAAATCGTTGTACTAAACTTTAATTGTTCATTTTTTTTTTGCCTAAACGGTAGGACACGTCATTCCTAAACTTTGTTAAACCAGTTTTTGAAGTTATACTTCTTTAGGCGCGTTATGAAAAAATGATGAGAGTGAAATTTTAAGATGCGCGCGCATCACTGTAAAACAAAATTTCAACAGCATGAAGTTGGTCGCTAAAGCGACCAACTTCATGCGTTACTTTTGTGTTTACCGCACATTAAGAAAATCTACCAACAAAATAGAAATAGAATCTCTATTTAGTGGGTGCTAACGACTGCATTGTGAAGGCCTATCAAAAGTATTTATTAATCTGGAACAACGGAACCAAAGCGCGATTCAGGAGACTACAGCGCCATCTCTTGACCATTGGTGTAGTAGACCCAAAAACCACATCTTTATTTTTTGTAATAAAGTAACAGTTATAGGTATTCATATTTATAATATCAAAAGTATTTATTAATCTGGAACAACGGAACCAAAGCGCGATTCAGGAGACTACAGCGCCATCTCTTGACCATTGGTGTAGTAGAACCAAAAACCACATCTTTATTTTTTGTAATAAAGTAACAGTTATAGGTATTCATATTTATAATATTTATCCACATGTTTCTAGTTTGTATATTCGGAATACGTGTTTGAGTTTCATACAAGTACAAATCACTTAAGTTCTAATAAATTATATTCAGTAGCGATTTTAATTGATTATTTATTAATTTTTTCAAATTAAAACTGAACTTTATTGACTGTGTCCTTTTCCAGACTTTTTATTAATTTATTGTAATTAATTATTTGCATGCAATTAAAAACTAATTTTAAACGATGCCAAAGAAGGATAACTTCTCACGCGCCTACATAAGTACACGCACCCATTTTTTTATATATATACTAGCTGACCCAGCGAATTTCGTACCGCCATAAAAAAAATAGGGTTTGTTGGTAGAAGGGAGAAAATTTAGGGTTATATCTATTTTTGTATGATGTATCAAAAAAAAAGAACAAAAAATATTGTACAAAAAAAAATTAAAGGTGGTTAACCCTTAACATTTAGGGGGGTGAAAAATAGATGTTGTTCGATTCTCAGACCTACTGAATATGCATATAAAATTTTACGAAAATCAGTCGAGCCGTTTCGGAGGAGTTTAACCACAAACACCGCGACACGAGAATTTTATATATAAGATTTTTTATTTTATAGTCATAATTTTAATATTATTTGCATTTTTTTTGTTTGTAATGGAAAGTGACTTTATGAGTTTCCTCATATTGAAGTCATTTTTCAATTTGACGACTCTGTATACAATACAGGGAGAAAAAAACAGCCCTTGCTGAGTTTCTTGCCAGTTCTTCTCAGTACAAGGTCTCCCGCCGTAGATTTGCGAACCGATGGCGTAGCTTTTCGACATTCACAAGTGCTTGTAACAGCCTAGACTGAATAAACGATATTGAATTTTGAATTTTGGATTGGAGGCCCTGGGCATATTAAGACAATGGGGCCCCTATGACTTTGATGAGTGATGACTGGAGCGAGTCATACTGATGAGTTATAATAATAATTATAATAATAATTTATTGTCCTTTTTTTACATGTTATATTTAAATAAAATTTCATTAAAAATAAGACAATAGGGAATGGCTCAGACAATGTTGGTCAAGCCTAGACCAGAACCAACGCTGTTTCTCAGCCACCCCTTAACAAATTTTACTTAAAATTATTAATATAGAGAGCCTCGAATTATCCATTATTTGATTATAATAAACTAGCAAACCAGTGAACCAAATGTTCACCAAAACCTGTTTTAAAAAAAAAATGTATTTAATTAATTGAGAACTTCGGAGATTTTGTGTGGTTTCGTTTGAAATTCATGATTTCTCGAAAACCGGAAGTGCTACGTTACTCAAATCCGGTTTGTAGTCTTATCAGACTATTCTTAACTTATAACTTAAATATTCTCTTTATCTATCTCTTACGGTTTGGCCGCTGAAACAGCACCACAGACGGACGGACGGACTTGTCTAATAGATAAGAGATATTGGAACATGTTTCGTGCATAAACTTGCTATAGATGTACTCGCCCTACTCGTACCCTCCATGCGGCACTGGCTAGGCCCTGGTCAAAACAAAAAAGAGCGGCAAGTGGCTATGATAAGGATGCTTCAGGTTTTCCGCAGGAAGTTGTTTACGAAGTAAGGGTGCGGCCAGAGTGCACTCAGATTCAGATTCAGATTCAGATTTCGAAAACAAGCGCGAGAAATAAACAGTGTATTCGAAGGGTACGGCCAGATTGCACTCCTGATTCAGATTCAGATTCAGACTCAGAAAACAAAGCGCGAGAAAAAGCAGGCAACCTGCTTAGACTACACTGTTTATTTCTCGCGCTTGTTTTCAGAATCTGAATCTGAATCTGAGTGCACTCTGGCCGCACCCTAAAGCTGCTTTGTAGTATTTTTAGAATTTTGATGTATTCATTTAACAACGTTAGTGAGTGTACTACTGATGATTTTTCTTTAAATGTGTATGTGCATAGTATACCATTATATGTATATTTAAATTTATCTAAGCATGCTGGAGTCAGAAAGCCAAATTTTTGGGCGAGAGTCGAATAGCTTCGCTTATGTAAAAGCTAGTAATTTGTAAAGTTGGTATTGTGGTCAGTAATTTAGGTTAGATTTCATCGAATTATATAAGTTTTTTGGTAATAAATATTGGTTATCGTTTGGTGATCTGACAGGAACTAGGGACTTTGTATTTGGTCTGAGGAGGCCCCTATCGATCGCGGGGGCCTGGGCACTTGCCCAAAATGCCCATTGGGAAAGAGGGGACTGTGTATAGGTGCACTAACGCACACAGTTCAAACCAATGAACGGATTGCGCTGAAATTTAGCACACATTATAGCTATTACGATTTAAACGTACGCTAAGAAGGAGCTCGATGGCGCAAGTACTTGAATACATCGTTGAAGTTAAGCAACTTTCGCAATGGTCAGTCATTGGATGGGTGACCAAAAATTTTTCTATTTCGAGCTCCTGCGTGCTTCGGAAGGCACGTTAAGCCGTTGGTCCCGGCTGCATCTGCAGTCGTTAGCACCCACCAATCCGCACTGGGCCCGCGTGGTGATTCATGGCCCAATCTCTCTATTCCATCCATAGGGAAGGCCTGTACCCCAGAAGTGGGGGGCATTAATAGGCTGAAGAAAGAATTTTCTAAAACACACCCCCAAGAAGAAAAACGGGGGTTTAAAGGTTAACGCGGACGAAGTCGCGGGCGGTCGCTAGCTTCATTATAATAGAGATCATTATTGATATGATCGATCGATCGATCTATATTATACGAAGGCTTCGTCCGAAGAGATTAGCTTGAATAACACATGTAGTACGCTTAGCACGCGCCATTTCACACTATATTGAGAATATATAAACTATAAAGAATAAAACTATTAGTTTTTTTTTCTTTTCTTTAAAGGAGATCCGGCACTTTTCATAGAAACAATGCTAAACTTGTATACAGTTGAATTTGGTCTCAAAATAAAGCCAAAATTATTTGCTACATAAAACTACTTTTGCCTTATTTCTAGTGAATCGTGGAAAGAAGTTATATAATGATTAATATTTTTTGATATGGAAACCCTAAGTCTTCAAGGGACAGAATTTTACTTCAAAATATTACTCAAGTGACTGTAAAACCATGATTCCTTTGCTTTTTCTAAATAAAAAACCAAATGTCAATTTGACAATCCTAAAATACAAACAAAAAAATCATTCGCATTTCGCATCCGCTCCCGCGTACTGTGATTGTGAATGTTCTCTACTGTGATTGCCTTTTTATCCGTTATTTCTCTTGACGACCCGGCTACATATAGAGGTTATATTGACAAACCTACGTATTTGACATTGACAGCTAGTTGCTTTTTTTTTATTTTTTATTAGCAAATGCAGCTAGTTGCTGATGACAAATATTGCCAGACTACGTTACCTAATTATGAAACACAGTTTCATAATTGGGTTCATAACGGCATTATTCAATAAAAAGTCTTTCGAAGGTAGCTCGACAAAATTAAATAAAATTTGATTCTGACGACGTAGCCTGTAAAGGCTACGAAACGTCAATAAATAAATAAAGTTTCGTGCATTAACCCGTAAAAACTAGTTTTATTTAATGAGTGATGTGCGTGAAAACCTAAGAAACAAATATATGAAACACAGATAAAAAAATTAAAAAAGTATACAACTTTGGCACAAAATGCCGGGTGTCCTTTGGAATATGGGTAAGCCCTAGCGTCCGTCATTGCTGTCATTCGCTTTTTAGTGTGTCGCCGTTTCATATCTAGATTTTTTTTTAGTTTTTTATTAGGATAGAACTTCACTTCAGGTAAGTTCGTTTAATCTCTAATTATAATGAAGCAAAGAGTCGGTAGTCAAAATTTATTTATTCAAGTAAGAAGCCTAAAACATACTGAAGATCAATAAACTTTTAAACTTGATTAAAGTTAATACCGTCACTTTCTTTGCGATAATAGTAGAATAATACAACACGTTACAGTTTATTTGAAATTAAATTTCTGTTGAGAATATAGTCTCTGAGTAGAGCCTTGAGTAGGATCACTTTCATGGTGTCTAATTATTTGAAAAACAATTATTTCCATGAAATCCACAATTTCAGGAACAATTACCAAATCTCTCCATAGCGATAAATGAAAAACAAATCACAACCAAGTTACGATTTAGTGACACACATTTTTCATTTCATAAACTCGGTAACGATTACCAAATCTCTCGATAGCGATAAATGAAAAACAAATCACAACCAAGTTACGATTTAGTGACACACATTTTTCATTTCAAAAACTCGCGGGCTTCGTACAAATTTGTAAATGCACTCACCGGCATTGTAGTGGCGTCCCTCTCGATCTCACGTACTCCGCCCTGCACGCCCGCCGCCCTACTGCCGCCGGGAGCAGTCCTATACTGTGCCACCTCACCACCTGGCTCCATCCGAGGCCTGCTCGCGTGACAACCGCCCTCATCCTTCCCATTCCTAAACTCAACCTTAACTTCTTCTATAGCAGAATCAACTTTCCTTTGAACCCCCTTCGCGTTCAAATTTGATATTTCTTCGACGTTGTCTCCGGTTATTATGATCGTCGGTATTATTTTACGAATACAAGTTTTATTAGATTCGGGGATGGGGCGCGTATTAGCATGTATCGGTACCCGGAATTTCTTTTTCAGTGAATCAATGACGGCCTTCCTCGCTTGCTCGTATTTCGCTCTGGCTTGTTCTTCCCTCCATTTTTTCAATACTATGTCTTTTGGATTAGGATTTACTGATTTATCATTGGCTTCTCTACAGACTTCGGTGATAGGCAATGTTTGTACTGAAATGCTTGTGGATGTGATTGTTCCAACAGTTTTCTTATCTTCTGTAATTTTATCATCATCGACTTCGTTTTGCACATAACAATCTGTTGTTCTAGTTTCACTGTCGCCATATAGATCCCACCATTTCACTCCGATGCTATCGATTGGAGCTCTAGATCTTGCTGAGTGAGTAGATTTTAGAGTATTATTCATATTCCCGTTTCAAAAAATTTATCTTTCGTCTTTAACATGTCGTAACGCGTTCACTACTGGCTAAATAGCGGAAGACACTAATCCTCACTGAAGTTTTCCGGTAGCGACGAAAATTGCAAGTCAGACAGACACCTTTGTAGGTGCTAAACAATCGCCATATGTAGAATCTAAAGTCTTTCGTCCTTTTCTGCTGCAGTGAAAAGAATAAGGAGGCATACGAAAGGCGTTTCATTCACCTCATACAACAATAGCTATTGTCAGGATTCTATTTCGATTACTAGGTCAGTGTGTGTATCGAGTCATCAACTAACTAGGTATCAGGCAATGTAAACATTGTATCTATCTCCTTTCTAAGTATTATTTTTATCAGTTCCAACTGGAGTATCTAATCATTATTCGTTATCACATCAGAAATAAAAATCTTCATAATTTTCTTAACAATAATTATGTCGAAATGTATAACTTATTGGGCCCGCGTGGTGGGTCATGGCCCAAACTCTCTATTCCATCCATAGGGAAGGCCTGTGCCCCAGCAGTGGAGACGTTAATAGGCTGATGATGTACGAGTTATGTGACCACCACCTGTGTGGTGTGCACCACTGTGTGTGCCGATATTGTGTTTATGTCAGTGTTGCCAGGTGTTCTACCGAACCGTTCGGTATATTAGCACCATGTTCGGTGTCGGTATGACAAAAATACCGAAGTATGGGCGGTTCGGTATTTTTTTCTGATTAATTTTACTTCCTAATATACGATTCAACTATCAGATTTAACGCAATCGTCCGGCAATGTTACGTAGCATCCCTACTTAGTTTGTGCGTTGTTGCCGCTTGCTAGAAGCGTGCATTAATGAGAAAAAAAAAAAAATGGTTGCCTGTAAAGTCGGTTTTACGGGCGAAGATTTTACGTGACAACGTCTTTTTCTCGGTAGAATATTTATTGATATGAATATAATTAAATTGCACAATAGGAACAAGGAATTGAATGAAAATAAGAATTGCACAAATTTTAACCATAGAAATATATTTTGTTTACTAAAACATTGTACATGTAAACTTAAACTTAACACGAGAGACTCATCGTAACGTTACCGAGCGTTACACTTTTTCATAAGTGACTCCCAGCCGCAACCTAATTTAAGACGTTGTCACGTCAAAAAATGTTTTTTAAAAGCTAGGTTAGCTAGTTACTCTTGTGCAATCTTAATTAATAATGATGAAACTGTTGTTTTTGCTCACTGTTTGGTATATATTTGGAAAAAACCTGGCACCCTGGTTTATGCCCAGAGACTAAGATTTGCATTGAAAAGGCGCATTGAAGATTGCGATACGACGATGTCTGTGGGTACGACAGTATCTTGCGCCGTTACCTACCCTGACTTCATTTCCTATCCCGTGGAGCCTTAGAAACTTACTTACCAAGAGAAACACAACACTAGCAAGAGGAAGCGTTCATCATCATCATCATCAGCCTATTAATGCCCCCACTGCCGGGGCACAGGCCTTTTCTATAGATGGAATAAGGAGATTGGGCCATGACTAGGGATGAAATGATACGAGTAAATACAAGTAACTACTCGATACTTTTCTTTCGATACCAAGTACTTTTGGCATCGATACTTTAGAACTTAGTAACAAGTAGTATCGCGAAGTAAGTACTTGTATCGGTACTCGGTCGGTCACTCACTGAGAAGTTTAAAAAAACTAGATAGGCAGATTATTTACTCTATTGTAGTTTGAGTTTTTGTTTCGCGAACACATCTTTTCTACTGTTCATTTGGCAGCCTTGCGTATGATTTATATTTATTCCAATTTATTCAGTCAATCATTTGTTCATCGTGTGATGTGAGCCGTTATTTTGTTTTCCTTAAACTAAACTGTGTCTAGATTTGTAATTGTAATATCGTTCGTCAAAATTTATCGATACAAGTAAGTATCGATACTTTTCATTCGATACCGAGTAGGCATCGATACTTTATGACCGATATAGTATCGAGTAAAAGTATCGATACCTAGATGGTATCGTTTCACCCCTAGCCATGACCCACCACGTGGGCCCAGTGCGAAATGGTGGGTGCTAACGACTGCAGATGCAGCGGGGACCAACTGCTTAACGTGCCTTCCGAAGCACGGAGGAGCTCGATACAGATTTTTTTGTTAACCCATCCAATGACCGATCACTGCAAAAGTTATTTTAAAGGAAGCGTTATTTCACAATTATCGTAAAAGACTTCATTATGAGATAAATATTTATCTGTGTCATATTTGTAAGCTGCGCTAGTGATGAAATTTTGTGAGCAATTTCCTCATTCCTAATCGTAGTTCATCAATTCAGAACCGAATAACAAATTCTTCATCAATTTAACAAATTGACCTAACAAGCGCACCCCGTTACTAAGCAATATTTTTTTCGTGTATTCTTATAAGCAGTTTGACCTATATAAGTTTGAAGAAAGTCTTCTTCAAACAACATGCCTAGGTAATTATTTTTATCTCTATAAATAAATGTCGGAAATCGAAATACCTTTTTAGTTTCTTTTTCAAATTGTGTGTTTATTTATGTTATTAAAAAGACTTCAATGCATTTGAACTGAATTATGTATTACTCGAAAATTTTATCCAGCTTACTTAATAAAAATAAAAAAGGTGTGCACGGACCACACATCTGAAGAGAAACTTCTTTTCTTAAATAACCTAACTTTGGGCGGTGCATAAGGCATAGCGTTTCAGCCTTTGCCGAGTTACCCTACAACTATCATACTCGTCGAGAAGAGCTGCGCACGCATCCCACACACACACACACACACACACACACACACACACACACACACACACACGCACAGATAGTCATGTGACGCTCGTGACGCATTTCCGTTTCATCTTTTCCATAGTATTTTTCCATTTACATTCGTTACACCGTCCGAAGAGAAGTTTCATTTCAAAAAACTATGACCAATAAAATTAAGTATATTATGTGTCATAATTATTAATTAATTTATTATTAATAATTTTATTGGAATCAGTTGGAATTCAAACATAGCCCAAGTGATTTCCAAGATTCTCTACCATATACTCAATCACTTCCCAGACAATCTTATCTATTCTATACTTATAATAAATCTGTAGAGAGGTCAATTCTGTACATGAAATATATTTTCAAAATAACTATCAGGGGGTGATTAGTGGTCGATACTGATGCCAAAAATGCAATCAGTAAAATTTTTGTCTGTCTGTCTGTCTGTCTGTGGGTATGTTCCTTATAGAAACAAAAACTACTCGACGGATGTTAACGAAACTTGGTACAATTATTCTTCATACTCCTGGGCAGGTTATAGTATACTTTTCATCACGCTACAACCAATAGCAGCAGAGTAGTGAAGGGAAATGTTGGGAAAACTGGAGAAGTTACTCCATTTTTTAAGCTTCCGTCGCGTGTGCAGCCTTAATGGTTAAAGTTACATAGAAATCATGTATGACGGAAATATTTTACATAAAATTGGCTAAAAAATATCCTGCAACAGCATATGTTTATCTTTTATGGTTGACTCACAATAACACGTGTAATTATATAAATAAAGTCATTGTTTACGCACAAGCCTGAGAACAAAAACTATACACACTACAGCTCTACACCGAAGCGAAGCGAGGGCGGGCCACTAGTTAATGTATAAATGAATATCTGATGGAATAGGACTTAATCGAGTAATATATAAATATGATTACGATGAATGACATTTAATATTGTGATGACTTTTGAATTTAATTTTATTCTATTTTTTTTATGTAGCATAATAATGAATATCTGTTGGATAAGGACTTAAATAAATGATAAGAAGTTTAATTAAGATTACTGACAATTATTATTATGATGACATTTTATTTTGAATTGTATTTTTTTATTTTAATTTGTTTTTTTCATGTAGTATAATTTAAAGTACCGTTATTAATTCTATGTTTGTATGCCTGATGGCTGGTCGTAGTTGGACTGTATATTTAAGCATAATAACCATGTTTTACCTATGTACCACAAATAAATAAATAAATTTAAAAAAAAGACATGTGAAAAGCGTAGAAAAATAATTTGACGTGTAGCCTTATTGTCTTCTAAATTCACTGATGGAAGATATAAAAATGTATTTTTTGGCAAGTAAAAACGAACATATGATGGCCCGCCTGATGATAAGCGGCCACAACACCATAGCCTAGATGCTTACGACACCCCTGATCCCACTTCTAGCCCATGGAAACCATAATCAAAGACAGAAAGACCAACCTCACCAAAGCGTTGTGTTTTTCACAGTGTTAGGCGCCGTCCTCGCCTTATCGTTTCCTTTCTTTTCTATACGGAATGTGTGCAGATTCTATACGGAACTCATTTTTTGAAGTAAAACTTCTTTACGCACGCTTGACTTGGAGGGTAAG